GTCAGGCATGGCCCAGGGGCTCGAGCCCGAGAGCCGGTCAGGAGGGCTGCGGCCAGTCCTCACTGTGCTGCCGCCACCACCAACAGACCGCGTGCCTCCTCCCCCGCCCCGTGAACACACACACGGTGCAGTTTCCCACAGGCTGACAACAGCCCCCAAATGCACCCATGTCCCAATCCCCGGAACCCGCGAATATGTTGCCTTCACAGCAAAACAGACTTTGCAGGCGTGACGATGTTAAGGACCCTGAGCTGGGGAGGTGGCCCCGGATAACGGAACAGCAGGGCCCTTACCAGGGGGTGGCAGGTCAGAGTCAGAGGAGACATGAGGAAGAAGCAGAGGCAGGCCAGGGAAGAGACCCCGGAGCCTCGGAAGGGCCCAGCACCGCTGGCCTGCCTGGGCGGCTGAGGACCCAGAGAGGAGACACCTGTGCTGCCTTAAAAGCTCACCTGTGTCCCTTCTCTCAGCAGCCGCACGAGTGCACACGCACATGCCGCGCGGAATCGTGTCGGCACAAACGCAGAAAGCAGTTACGAGACCCAACCGCCTGTCACTGGGCCAGACGGTAAAGAAACACAAAACCGAAGCAGTGCCACGCTTACAATTTTTAAAACAGTTCAACAAAAACGTTGTTTATGCTAATACGTTATGGATTGAGTTGTGCCCTCCTGAAAGACACGCTCAAATCCTAAACCCTGATCCCTGTGAATGTGACCTCGTTTGGAAGCAGGGTGATCAGTTAGGACGAGGCCCCATGAACTGGGCTGGGCCCTGATCCAGTCACAGGTGTCCCCACGAGAACAGGGCGTCTGGGCCCCGGGCCCCGGCCCCTGGGGAGGACGCCCTGCGACGAGGGGGCGGAGGCTGGGGTGACATGCTGACAAGCCAGGGCACAGCAGGGGAAGAGCCCGCAGAGCTGCCACGGGAGCCGCCCTGCGGACCCCGACACCACACGTGGGCGCCTGGCCCCGCGGCGGGGAGGATGCATTTCTGCCTGTTTGAAGCCTCCCTGTCTAGGGTACTTTCTTGCAGACATAACATGTAACAGTTTGTCACTTAAGTGAGTGAATAAAGCTTCAGAAGCTTCTCAGCTCTCATTTCTAACACAGTAATTCTCGACAGATACGACTCACACAGACAAAGTTCAGTAAGTTTTAAGAACGTAAAGTCTAAGAACACGGAGGTCCTGACCTCCTTCCACCAGGGCAGCCCGCAAGCGCCTCGCAGAGCGGGTGGGAGCAGGCGCCCAGTGAGGGGGCCTCTGCTCCCCGCAGCCCGGCCAGGAGTGGGGCTGGGGGCTCCAGGCGGCCACTCACGCCTGGCCGCACGCTCACGTGAGCCGCTCGCAGAGCAAGACACAAATGCTAAAAGCCTGCAGCAGCCAAGCAGCGGAAACACTTGCTACAGAGTAGCCTGGACTCCTCGTCAGCCACCGATGCCGGCTGCACGGAGAGTCCAGACTAACCAGCCACGTCCATCGAGTGCCACCCACACTGCGGTCACCGCCGCGTGAGGAACATGCTGGCCAGGACTCTGACAGGAGCAAGTTTTGTGTGGACGATGCTCACAGGTTGTAAGATGTCTTTACAGCTAATACGCTTGGTTTTCCCCCTCACACAGTAGATGCCAAGTCCAACCAGCAGGGGAACAGTGGAAAGGACAGGAGAAAACGCTGAGCAGCGGGGCGGAGCCCACCCCCGGTGCATGAGGCCAACAAGCCTCTCACAGAAGCTGACACTGTCCCCAGAAACCAACGTGAAAGAAGGGCCCGGGCCCCGCCCGCCCGTCTGCAGCCCCAGCGAGCTTACCTGCGATGGTGGAGCTGGCGCCAAGCTCCAGGTGCAGCTCGCCCTGCTGCGCCACCCGGGTCTGCTCCTCCAACACCTGGTCTATGACGTCCAGTCCCGAGGCCAAGTCATGGGGCGTCAGGTCAAATGACGCGGCCTCCTCGCACATCTTCTCCTGCGACCCCAAGCACGCCACGTCATGGCAGCACAGCGTGGGGTCAGGGCCTGGGAGGCAGATGTGGGGTGGGGTGCAGGGAGCCCCCCGAGCCCTGGTCTCACACTGCTCCAGAGACGGATGTCTCGTCCAGTGTTTGAAGACAGTTTTCCTTGAGCTGCAACGTTTTACAACTAGGAAATTTCCCACGAAACCCTGGCTTTTAGCGCCTCTTGAAGGTCAGATCTGGCCCCCGGGGCAACAAGAGCCTGGAACCAAGGGGGCTGAGGGTGGCCACCTCTGTCCCAGGACGTAGGCTCCCCAAGGGGCCTCCCTCCAGTGCCCTGGTCAAGGCCAAGCATTCCCGCAGATGGAGCTCCTGGGCCTGACAGAGGCTGCAGGGAGCAGGTGGAGAGGGGGGCGGGGAGGAGGTCACCAGGGACAAAGGGAAGAGGAGTGGCAGGCAGGAGGGGCCCAGGGGTCCTGCGACATGTGGGCATAGGCCAGCCAGCCCACCTGGTCCAGGTGTGCTCAGCCCTGACAGCAGGCACGAGGTGGACAGAAAGGCCTGCACTTTTCTGCACAGGAAAGCAGGTGGGCAGAAGGCGGCATCAGGAACAGCACCCCAACACTCACCACGTTGTGAGCTTCGTCAAAGATCACGACCGTCCCCTTCAGGTCGATGCCGTGTGCCCGGCGACTCTACAGCAAGTGGGGTGACAGTGGAGCCCTGCCCTCATGGCCCAACCCTCACACCTCCTGCTGGGGCGTCAGCTGGATGGGCTGTGGGCACTGCTCCCACCCCGCTGAGCTGGTGGTGTCCGTCCTAGCGACACTCACTGCACAGGGAGCAGTCCTGTGACCCCAACCACAACACGCAGCCACAGGGTGGAGGAGGAGACCCAGCCCAGCTTGTGAGGGATTTCTAAACCCCCAAGGGTCACGGAAACGACCTGGGTGGGGTCTGGCATCAGAGTTTCTCTCCACTGACTTAACTGGAAGCTTATTTTTCGTATGATTGCCCACTTTACGTGTGCAGTTGAGTTTTGACAAGAGTGGGCACCCTGTGGCCGCCACCCAAAGCAGGACACACAACACACCAGCCACTGGGACTGCTCTGGGTGAGCGTTCTGACCCAGGTGGGTGGCTGCACGTAGCGGCAGGGCCCCCTTACCCTGCCCATGGGACATGAGGGACACCACCCGCTAACAGTCGGGGCTGTCCAGGCTCTGGTGACGCAGGGAGCTCTGAAGAGCTGGCCATGCGAGGCTCTGCCGTGGCTGTGCTCCCGGTCATGTCCTGAGATTCAGTGCCCCAGGTCCCGCCCGACACCAGTCATCTCAAGTCTCTGTAGTCTGAGCCATTTCAGTGTGCACGTCACGGCCTGAGGTCCTAACCTGCATCTCCTCAAAACCGGCCATGAGGAACGTCTTCTAGGCACAGGCTGATTGGCCACCCCACTGTCTCTCGGGTGGAAGGTCTGTCTGGCCTTTCCCAGCGCTGGCGGGGCTGAGTACCAGGAATTGGCCCGAACGCCCCATGGGTGCGGTCAGAGGCACACAGGTGTAGCGGGGGTACCTCTCCCTCTGAGCACACATTTAACCCCTTAGACTTCCTGATCCTTTCAGAGGCCAAGCTTTAAGTGGTGGCAAAGACCAACTCATCAGGTTTGTCCCCACTGCTGGTGCCTTGTGTGTCTACGCTGAAAGGTCTCCACTGCCCCCAAATCACAACAACCCCCCATGCTTCCTCCTGGGGCTTTGAAGGCTCAAACTTTGACATTTAGGTTTAAACTGCATGAAGCATCAGCTGAGATTCATTCTTTCCCAAATAGGTGTCCAGCTATTCCGGCACCATTTCTGGAAAAAAAACCCCACAAAAAACCCACCTTCCCTTGCCCCACTGAACTACCCAGGCAACTTTGTCAAATGCCAGCTGCCACACGTTGGGTCTATCTTGGACGCCACCCTGCAATCCCCGCCAGCATCCTGCTCCACAATGAGCCCTGCGGTCAGAAGCGTGAGCCACCCTGTCCTCTGTCAAGACCATCCTGCTCTGTCTGATCTCTGGTTTCCACACGAGTTCTGGAACCAGCTCATCAGCTGTGACAGAACTGTTCTGAGGTGGGGCCCGGGCCAGGAAGCCAGGCTGAAAGCACCACTTTGTGAGAATCACATACAAATCCTGGGCAAACCTGCAAGCTCTCCAGGTGCGAGTCTGGGCCACCTCACCTCGTGCCCACGCTCACACGCACTGCGTCCCGTGTCAGCCGCTGCTCCAAGGCGTCCTGTCCGCGGCCGCACATCTCACCCCTACCCCATCACCCGAGCACAGCCGCACTCAAAGATGCTGGCTGATACAGCCCTGCATCCCAGCTCGGCGGGCTCTCCACTGACATCTACCGTGGGACAGCGCGTGAGCAAGAGGCCCAGACAGGAGGCCACCCGCAGTGCTCCACCACGAGCACAGCTGAAACAGAGACTGTGCACACGGTAGTCTTAAAGCCAGCGTTAGGGCTGGACGCTCCTGGGCATCCAACTGGAGAGACGCCAACAGCTGGACAAGGGGGTCTCCCAACCCTGCCAGCCCACGCCCCCAGATGGCGCAGAAGAGCTACAGCCCCCGGCTGGTCGTCAACTGAGCCCTAAGCAGTGAGGGGGACCCGGTCCACTGGCACCAGCCTGCTGCTCCAAGCAGGAGTCTAATCCCAGGAACTGAACCAGCAGGGGTCTGACAGGGATGCCCCTGCTGTCAGGGGCCTCAGGGACACAGGCTGAGCCCTCACCTTAGCGTCCAGCAAGTAGTTGTACGGCATGAAGATGATGTCGGCCTGCTGCGCCAGGCTCCGGGAGAGGTAGTACGGGCACAGCCTGCAGGGGGGATGGGGTAGGTGCTGTGGGGCTGGGGGCTCCCGCGGGGCCCAGACAGGGGACAGTGGAGGGCTCGCTGTGAGGCACTTCACACCACGAGCTTTCAACCCTGTGAGTGGATCACTGGTTTAAAAATCCACAAAAACAAAAAGACCCACCCCTGGTCCTGGGCAGGTCAGCGAGGCAGCCCCATCTGATCACGACTTGAGCCCTGAAGCTAAGGTCAGCAGCAGATATCAGGAAGGGCGAGGTCAGGGAGCTTGTACTGGGGGGGCAGGCATGAGGCCCTGCTGGCAGGTGACAAGGCTGGCCAGGTGGGTCCCACCAGGCCACACGCGGGTTGGGCTGAAGGCCATGCTTCTTACTTGAGAGTTCTCTCAGCTGCTCACATTTCATACCACACAACTGTTAGTTTCGTGATGTGAAAAGGAAAAAGGAAAGGAAAGCATGCACGCGCCCTGCCTGTGGAGGGAGCACGCAGCCGGGGCCCTTACTTGTGTCTCTGTCCACTCTTGACCAGGTCCTCGATGTCCAGGATGGGGGTGGCCAGCTCCTGCTCCAGGCTCTTCTCTGGGGAGGCGAGCAGGAATAAACATCAAGTCCTCCAGACCCCAAGAGGCACCCAGGATGAACAGCTCCTGCTAGCAGGCAGTGGGTGCAGCCACCCACGACCCTCCCGTGGGGCAGGTGAGGGGGGCACTCAGACCCCTGGGGACTCACCAGAGAGAATCCCTGCCCATGGGTCTCAGGGTCCCCTGGGGAGGGCCCCAGGCCTAGAGCACAGCCCAAGGGAGCCCTGCTCTGCACTTCAGAAGGTGGCCACTGGCCTGAGGCTAAGCACCAACAGGAGGGCCCCCAAGACAGGGCAGCCCTCAGCCTGTCACAGCCACCGCAGACGCTCTCAAGGACAGGCGACTCCCACAAGCCCTGGGGGCTTCAGTCTGGCAGCAAGTCCCCTCCTCCTGCTCCACTTTCCCCACCACATGGAGGAGCCAGGCTGCGGAGGCAGGAGAGGACACAGAGCTGTCACTGCCCACGCTGACACTGCAGGGGCTGCAGACTGAGGCAGGTGGGAGGGGAGGAGCCCAACAGCCCCAGGACCCTTCCCTCAGGATGGCAGCCCTGACTCCCTGCTGGCCACAGCCCAGGGAAAGAAGGGCCTTGAGAGGGAACTGCTTTAACCCAGGGACCCCAGGGCCTGGTCCCAGCAGACAGGACCAAAGGTCTACTCTAACAAGCACCCAGAGAGCCTCAGGGTAGCTCCTTGTGGACACGGCCCCCAGCTCCAGCTCCACCGGGGCTGGAACCAGGCCCAGCTTGAAACTGCACAGACCAGAATACACGGGCCCTCAGGGTGACCCAAGCCCAAGCCTGGAGCGCCCCAGAGACAGCAGGCGAGGGAAGGAAGAGGAGCCATCCCCACGGCAGCACCACAGCAACAGACCAGCCAATCGGTAGGCTCTGCACAGGCTAGCCCCAGAGCTCAGTAACCTGGGGGCGGGGGGTTGGAGAAGAAGAGGAGGGGGTGAGGAGGAGGGGCCAGGGAGGAAGGGGTGAGGGGCCCCAACCAGGGCTGACTCTAGGGCACAGACGCACACGCATGTCTCCCCTCCTCAGACCCCTCCTGGGGTCTCTGCCCACTTCTCCCCTCTCCAAGTCCTGAGCATCTGCTGGGGACTCCCCTCACATCCCGCGGCTCAGCTGGCAAAAGAGGCTCAACAGAGCAAGGATGTGCTAGCTTACGGTGAGTGGACACCACCCTCCCCACTGCCAATGACTGGGTAGCGGGAGCTGGAGCAGAGCAGGTGGGTTGGGGACCAGGGAGGCCAGAGCCAGCAGGCCAGCTGGGACAGCCCCTGCTCTGCCATGCAGGGCCTGGAGCAGTGGGGACCCGGTATGCAGCCCAGGGGGCCAGCACCCATCAGCTCCAGGAGTGCCTCCACTGTGGGCCGAAAGCTCCCCCCAGCTCCCACCCTCTCCTCTGGCCTCCTGTTCCCCTCCCGCATGCTCAGGGCTCCCCAGGTGAGGTGAGGGGTGCTGCAGGTGGGGGGCCCTGCAGGTGAGGGCTGGCCCAGCAGAGTGGACAAGCTGACTCCCAAGTTGCTGTAGAAACATGGCCAGAGTGGTTCTGACCCAAAAGGCTCTGGCCTCTGGCCAGCGGGACATCTGAAACCCCCTCTGCAGGGAGCAGGCAGTCCCAGGGAGATGGGGAGCCTCCCTTCCAAGCACCACAGGCAGGACTGAGGGCAGAAGGCTGAGCAGGGGAACAAGAAGAGAAAGGAGCCTGTGGGAGCCGGGACCCCTGCAGACCTGGCACCAGTGGAGGCAGCAGAGCCGGCAGCCTGCAATCTCCGGCTCGGGGCTGGGGAGCCTGGATGCCTGCAGGCCTGGCTCCTGTGGAGGCAGCAGAGCCGGCGGCCTGCAACCTCTGGCCCGGGGCTGGGGCCAGGGCCAGCTGCTGGGGGCCACCCTCACCTTCACACTTCCCCGCGGTCCCAAGGGTCCTCAGTGCCAGCAGATCAAGGCAGGCAGCAAATGGGAAGGTGCTGAGGAACAAGCCCGAGCCCCTGGGTCCTCGCCCCAGAGGCTGAGCCGCACAGGAGACGTGGACCCCACAGCCAGCCAAGACCGGGCTCGCCTCAGGTATACACCCCACCCACCTCTACAAGGAGCAGGGCACAGGGGCGCCTCACACGGGGACCCCCCGCTCAGGCCTCTGGGAACACAGTGCCGCCCTGACGCTCCACCCAGCACAGTGGGCACGCCAAACCCCACCAGTGGGAGTGTCCTGGAGCCCTGTCACCTCAGGTCTGAGTCCCAACCCTGCAGCAGGAAACAGAGGGAACCCCGATCCCACAGAAGTGGGACCCCAGGCCACAGAGCTCGTTCTGCAGACGGGAACCTGCAGCAGCTGCACCACAGACGGGCATCCCTGCCGCTGCCTCCGGCTCCACCCAGGAGAGGCAGCCACAAGCCAGAAGAGCAGAACTTCGGAGGCAAGGGCACCAGCAGTAAACCCTCCACTCTGGGCTCCAGGAAAGGCAGTGACAGGAGACAGGGTGTCCCCGTCACAGGGCTGTGGGCACCCACACAGCTGTGCCATGCCAGGGCCTGCCGCTGTCACGAGCCGTGTGCTTGTCACTCCCACCTGCTTTTGGGTGAGGCTGTCCTCCCAACGGCAGCAGAAGCTGGAGAGGCTGCCAGCGTCCCCCCACGCTGAGATGCGCCGCACGGGCCCCGAGGGGGTGAGCACGTGCAGGAGCTTCCACTCCCCAGCTGCCACCCCCGAACAAGCTGTGACATGCGGGACGTGCTCTCCAGAGACCCAGCGCCCAGGGTACACTGGGGGGTCACTCCCGCCGGCGCCCTGTCTGGCAGGCACCCAAATCCCAGACTCCCGGAAGGGAGCACACGCTCAGCATAAACCAGGCTGTTTGCACAGTTGGAGCCCTGGGAACACCCCGTGAGGGGAGGGTGGGGCCTGCCTGGCCAGCAGCCCCACAGCGGGAGCTTTCCTGCCCATGCTCCAACAGAGGTCCAGTTAGGATACGCACCCAGCTCCCGCCCCACCTGGTGAGTGGGACACAACCGCCCCAGAGCACCAGGGGCGACAGCCAGCAGGCCAGGGCCCCCACGCTCGGCCCTGGGAGGTCATACAGGCTGTGTCCCCCTCCTCACCTTCGACATTGTTGTAGAAGTGGCAGGAGCGGCTCGACACCTTCCTACGGCACAAGTGCACCTGGGAGACAAAGGATGAGGTCCTGGCCAGTGTGGCGGCTGGCAGTGGGCAGAGCACTGGGCCGGCTGGTGGGCACGTGCTGGCCGTGCTAGATGGTGCAGGAGGTCCCCACGCTGGCTCCGCCCCCACCAGCTCTTCACCCCCAGTCCCTCAGGGGCACAGCTGGGGGCTCTAAAGCCCGGGCAGCAGCCACCCAGCAGAGCCGCAGAGGAGCCCACCTGCATGTGGTTGCTCTCCTGCCTCTTCACCTCAGGGTGGATGCACAGCTGCTCCCGGGAGCCCAGCACACATACTCTGGGCCTGGCGGGAGAGAGTTGTGGGGCCCAAGGGTCAGAGGGCAGCAGGAGCCATAGGGGACACATGGGGGCACCCAGAGGGAGACGTGGAACACAGCCTGGGCTTGGAGGGCTTCCTCTGTGGCAGGGCGCCCCTAAGCCAGGTCCAAGGAGAGCAGGGAGGCCCAGCAGAGAAAAGCAGGCAGGTGGGAGGAGACTCTGTCACTTCCATACTCCCTCTCCCGGGAGGCCGGGGCGGGACCCCACCGCTCCTGCAGCTGTGCCGGAGCCTTCCCGCACCCACTTCGCAGCTGCCCCGACCCATACCCACTGCTGATGCCACAAGGGCCGCAAGGAGCTCCAAGGTCAGGGCGTCAACTCACAAGTAGCCCCACACTTCAGAGCACGGAGCACCCTCAGGGTGGAGTCCAGGCAGAACACCACCATCGACCACTGTGCTGGGACCGTCCCCACCACCCCCTCACCCCCATGACCCTGAGGCAGGATGAATGCCGCCACACCTACCGGTAGGAGGTGCTCCGAAGCTCGCTGATGACCTGCGTGAGCTGTGAGTGGGTCCTGGAGGCATAAATGATCTTTGGGATGTCTGTGTAGCATGCTGCCCAGGTACAAGGAAACAGAAGAGATCAGGGCACGTGTGTGTGGTTATCCCGGGGGCACACAGCTAATTCAACCCTGGGGACAGCCAAGCATCAGATACTAGACACTCGCTCCCAGGGGTGACCTCAGGTTTACAGCCAGGACGTCAAGAAATGGCGTGGCAGCTACAACACTCCTTCCATTACGTGCCTCCCCACAGGGGCCAGGTGATAAGCAGATGGGAGCCCCACCTATGTTGTCTCCGTCCAAGGTGGCGTCCCCCCAGGACAAGGCGCGATGGGGGAAGAGCTCCCCTTGCGCCCTCTCGGCAATCTTGTGGGCAGAGATGGTATCCCGGAGGTGCTCCCGCCAGGCCAGTGTGGTGCAGAGGAGGCAAAGGGTCTTCCCTGTGCCCGTGGGGCTCTCCAGGATGCCGTTCACTTTCTGAATGGGGCCAGGAACAGGGTCATGGGGAAGCAGGAACCAAGCAGGTCACACAGCCCACCTGGGACAAGCCCAGCAGTCAGCAGGGTAGCTCTGCTCAAGCACAGCCCACCCCGCAGGGGGCACAACCTCCACAGGACGTTTCCACGCTCAAACCAAAAGCTGCAGATTAAGTCAGCCCTCCCTAGCAAACAATTTGCAGAGCATTACCTGAAACATCACAGTATTTTCCAGCCCAATATAAGTAAAAAGATGACTAATTAGGTCTCAAGTCTCAAAACAGCAGATTAACTCTGCATTCTGGATCCAAGCCTTTACATTATCTGAAAGGACTCTGACGGCCTACGTAAGTCTCACCTGGGAGCCTGAGTGGGGACCCTGGGCAGACATGCAAGCGCTATCTGGGAAGCTGTCGTCCCAGCTGCTGCAGGAGTGGGCACCTGGCTCCTCGTGCATGCTCTGTGCGAGCCCGGCTGCAGGGGCAGCCCTCGGGGGCTGGGGGCTTGACAGGGTACCAGAAGGCATGCCCGAAACCCAGCAGCAAACAAGCTGCACCCATTTCACCTTCAGCACCCCCCTGAGGTTTGGAGACCTTCCAGAAGGAGGGCTGGGCAGCCGCTGCCCCTCTGTGAGGAAATACTTCCTTCGGACCCTCTAATGGCTGGCTGCTCCTCCTCATCTGGTCTCCGCTCAAATGCAACCTCCTCAGAGAGGCCCCAAGGTGCTCGTAAGCCTATTACCTTGTGTCTTTTCCTCAGAGCACTCACCACCGTCTAGAACCAACTTTTTCACGGGTGTAGCATCTCTCCTACCCCACCTAAAACATGGGCCCTATTTATGGGTGAGTCTTGCATTCAGAAGGGCACCTTCACCAGCAGGACCCCGAGTGAACACAAAGGTCTTTGCTGAGGCTCCACCCACGCTGACACATCCCCCAGCTACAAGCCCTCCGTCTGCAGCCTCACCTTCTGCAGACACTCCAACACCTTGGTCATGTACTCTTCTTGGCATTTGTATGGCTGGAAAGGGAAATCCACTGTCACACCATTCAGGGTTATCTTGGGCATTTTGGCCTATTCTCGGGAGGGCAGAGATAAGCGGAAACGCAGGCTGTGTGGGTCTGGGAGACAAAACCCCTCTGAACATCTCAGGGTCTCAGCCACTGCAGGGAAGCGATGCCAGCCTGTGGCGCTGGGACATGGTGCTCTTCTCCGCGGGAGTCCCTAGGGCAGAGGGCGGAATGACAGCAAGACTGTTAGAAGCGACCCTTTCTGGAGCGCCAGGCCACTCCGCCTGTCAGCTGGTGAAGTCCCTGCAGGGGACTGGTCGGAAGGCGAGCCCGTGACGTCCCACCACAAAAACCGACTCGTCCGCCCTGCCTCTTCTCCCGCTCGCCACCACGCCACCGAGCGGCCCCAGGTGCGGCGAGAGAGC